CCCTCGCCCCCAGGCAGAGGCGCCGCGGTCATCTGGGCCCGCCCTCGGCGCCCTTTTCATCCGGATCCCGTCACTAGCACCGCGCCCCTTCCCGCTCCGTCGTTGAGGGCCGGGGCGCGGGGGGATGGGCCTCTGGGGCGCCCGGAGCCCCCTTCTCCCAGGGCATCGTGCTTCAGGGCTCCGTTGCCTGCCGCCTGTCCCTGAGGCTTCCTTATGGTTTGGGTTCGGTTTACAAGCTGAATTGAAGCCCTCTGTCAGAACCGGGCTTGGTTTCTGTGTGAAACTTGGTCGTGCTTTATCGGCAGGTCTGAAGAGGCAGCGCTCCCGGTCGGGAGTGTGTAAAAATGTGGTTGGAGGATCACTAGAGACAAAATACCGTGACTGCGTTAATATGGGGAAGTGTTTGAAGAAGCCTTGAATTACTCCTTAGTTTAGCTCTCCTTTTCCCCCAAGAGTAATTAAATTATGAATACTCTACAAGCGAACATCCTTTTGGATTTCAAGCTATTAACCGCTACTTAGAGAACTTGCAGATCTGCCAAACACACATATCTGACATCTTTACCCATCACTAGCAGCGTCTCATTAGTTGACATCCTGGAAGACGCAGCAGCAGCCAGAGCACGTGGATGTTCCCGGCAGCTGGAAAGGCAGAGGATCTGTGGCAAGGCTCCCAGGTTCCAGGGAAAGCACTGTGAAGCTGTTTTTGATAAAGTGGGTTCCACTTTTAAACCACTGTTTCTGTTTGCACACTTTTACTCCACAATAAGGTACTAAAATAAGAAAAAGCGTGTCCAAACAGGAGTCTCAAGCTACTGATTCCATATTACTAAATATCTTAGACCATAACAGTTTTATTTCTGTCTAGACAAACACTAAACCTTTTCAGAAAGATATGATGTCAGGGTTCCAAATTAACTGTTCTGTGAAAATAATACCTTTATTACAACTTTTCCAAGTGGTAGTAACTAGTATTTGGGCAGTAATCTAAGAAAGAATACGAGGTTACAGGCACAATTGTCACATGGACATAAATCACCTTTTAATACTATTTTCTTACTGTTGGCAATTTGAATACTCCTTTTTGTCTTTTCAGGTGAGAATTATTTAATGCAATAAAATAAAAGTAAAAGGTCTTTCTTAAACCTTGAGGAAAAAAGGAAATCTCTGTGCAATGCTGTGCATAGTGGAGGAGGGAACCATCTCTATTAGTCCAGCTCAAACACAAGTGCTCTTCTGAGCCAGAAGTGTACTTATGAAATGTTTCAGTGTCAGAAGATGTGGGCTATTCTGTGAAGGGTGTTTCCTACTACAACACACCCAGGCATGAAAATAACTGAAGATCAGACGATGACACCATTCCCTGCCTCCTGGCAGGAGGAGCTCAGGTTTTGTGGCCAGTACATTTAGTTGATGGCATCCTGGTGGAACTCATGGGTTTGGTGATCAAACTCCTACTGGGACAGAGTATTTTCCTGGGGATTTAAGAAAAATAGCAATTATTCTAAGATTAAAAGTACGGTCACAAGAACTGGCAACACAAATGTTATTCTGCTGCATAAATGTTAAGTAATAACAACCAAAGAACATCCACATGCTTTGAACGTGTTAAGTGTATTGGCTGGCAAAAGGCCAAAGCTCAAGTCCTCAGTCATCTGGGAAGTGTAAGTGGCCTGTCTAATTCCTACCACTTTTTAAACTGTTTGGTTTTCTGTAATAGCTGCAGGGGTTGGAGCAGGTTATAGCAGCAGATCAGGTGGTTGAGTCTGAATTGAGCCTTGTTTGGACTCGCTGCCACATGGACCTGGAGCTTCTAAGAGAGCTTTTGCATCCGTGAGGCCAACTGCAGTTAGGATATTCAGACATAGTTGTAAATACCATGTTAAACCTAATTTTTCAGACACAGTTTTAAAATGCCAAGTTCCATTTTTATTCTTTACATCTGACGTGTTTTACTTATCTTGAAATTGGCGTTTTGGGATGAAACTTAATAAAATGTTACAAATGTTTGAAAGTTCATGCTTAAAACCTGCCTCCTAAGTAGTATGTGTGCTTTGGTGTTCCTCCCTTTTCAGTGGGTAGTAAAACCCTGCCCAGCTGCAGACTGCCAGCATGGGAAACCTTGCTTCAAACATTGCTCACCACTTTTTTCTTTGAATTTAAAAAAATTACTTTCAAAGATGGCCCAAAGTCTAATAACTTCACCAGAATACGCTAAATATATCTAATAGGCTAAGGTGAATTCTCAGTGTATGAATGCATGGGGTTTATTTATCATTTAATTGGTTTAGGTCCAGTGATGACAGTTCTCTTGAGAGGGAGCCAGATTCTGCAGAGAACTTGGTCCAGCGTTTGACACCGCATATACCTGAAGTCTCATGAGAAGAAAAAGCAAGTTTCTTGATGCCTAGCAGAGTAAATCCAAATTTTACAGTGAGTGATGCTCTGTGAAAACAAACTCTGGGAAACTTTATCAAGATTTGAGAGTAGTTTCAAGCATAATGAGGATGGCTCCAGCACGTTAGGCTGCAGACGGGGTTTGTTTTCAGCCCTTCCAAGCCTTGTCCCCGTGGGTGTGTAGTGAAGAACATCAAAATTCCCACCCGTGAACATCAGGCCTGTTGTCTGTGAGATGCTGTATAATTTTGTTAGCTTTTGGAGGAATAATTCTGCATTTTTGTTAAATTTTTCTTCAATTTCATAGTGGTTAGCCTTTTAAGTAAATATTAAAATTTCAGATAGGATGATTATTTCAGCAGAAACAGGAACAAAAAAATATCCAGAATTATTATAACTGGATACAAGAAAATATTTTTAAAGGTCAAACCCAGCCCTGCCTTGCTTCCAAATTTAAGCCGTGTTGTCCTATTATGTTTCCTTCTGGGGATTTTGTGAGTAGGAGTGCCCTACATCTGCCTCCTGCAAGTTTCTTATGCTTTCTGTCTTTCCTCTGGAATATTAAATAACTCAAACTACGCTGAATCACTGGTTAGGCTGATGGGCAGGTTAGATTGAAGTAGGCCTTGGAGCTTCTGTGGAATGTGACTTCTTTTTTGTAATGTTATCCTGACATTAATGGCATAGAAAGCAACATTGTAGTTAAATTACATTGAAGTTAATTGCATAGAAAGCAACATTATAGTTACATTAGTAACTATATAACTGTATAATTTACATTAGTAACTATAGAAGAATGTAACTCTTCCTATTAGGGTGCTCAGAATCTGGGCTAGTACCATTCAAGAAAGTACTTTTTACTTTATTGGCATAGGATTGAACACAAAAATCAGAGATTCGGTCTTAAGTGCAAATAAATTGCTTGGTTTCCTTGCCCCGGTAGCAAATTGCTGGCACCTCGGTGTATCCAACAGTCTCAAACACAACCTCAGACTGAAATGCTCGAGTGAGCATCAGTCTGGAGGGCTTCACATTTGTCAAGAGCCAATGAATGCAATGGGCCATAAAAATATTTCTCTTTCTTGGAAGTCTAACTTCTGTAAGCAATAAGTATAAGCAAGCATTGTTGGGTTAATGTCTTATTCACCCAGGCTGTATTTATTTCTTTGAATTTGGCAGGTTCATTTATGAGATTGGAAGTAACTGAGCTCCAGCACCCGTCTGGGTGCGGAGGCCTTTTCACAGGGGATATTCAGCACTGGGAAACGGATTTGCGGATTTGCATGGGGGAAAAATGGAGGCAGAAATAAACTTCTGGAATTGAATCTCGGTCCCGGAACGATGGCATCCCGGCTGTATGCACATGCTTTCAATATCTCCCTGGTAGAGAAGAGGAGTTTGTGCATAAATGGAACACCATGGATTTGGCATCTCCTGGAAGAATGTGTCGGGAACGTGTGGGAGTACTGGAGCGTTGTCACAGGGCTGATCTCCATTGTCTGTTTTCTGTTTGCTGCGCTACCGTACGTTTCAAGTCTTAAGCAGTCCTCAGATTGAAACATGAGTAATCTTGCCTGAAGCCTTTTCAAAAGCTGCCTCTTTTTTTTTTTTTTTTAATTTTATTTTATCTTGGATATGTTTGTCTATCTGCATAATACAGATACAATATCCCAGAAAAGCATGTTGTTCATGTTTGCAAAAATATTTGGTGGTTGACAAATTAGCTTGATGTACTGTTCCGTTGTACTGACTTGACACTAATCTCTGCCACTTAGAGCAAATGAGAATAAATCACCTCTCCCCTCTTATCTCCTCCGCCCCGAGAATGCACGTGCACACGCAGGCACCCTTGCAGCAGAGGCTGGCTCAGTGTTTCTTTAAACCGCACACTGTGTCACCAGCACCTTTGTGCTGGCTCCTGCCAATTCAGCTGGGATTGGGAACAGGTCAGCTCAGAGGCGGGATGTGAGTTAGTGCCTCAGTAGCGCTAAATCTGTTGCTGTTTGGTCACTGGCACTGGGTTTAAGCTTCAAATATGAGGAGATGAAAAAGGAGAAGCAGGAATACTCCCAGCAGGTGACAGTGCCTGAAACAAAACGGGATTGACTCCAAAGTCTGTCCCCATAAGGGTGATGTAATTTACTGGACGAGTCAAAGGCTGTGGAAATAGAGCAAAATAAACCCATTCTCAGTAAACTGTTGAGCTTCAGAAATATTAGTTGAAATGTTAGTTGAAAGGGGGCTTTACATTAAAACTGTCATGCTAGTGAGCATGGAATTCATCAAGATAAGTCAAATGGAGTCACATTTGGGATTGCTTCATAGTCCCTGCTGTGAATCTGAGTAACAGCTCTCCAATTTGGAGCCACAAGTGTAGTTGTCAACTCTTTTAGAAGCTTTGTTCATTCTTAGCCCTTCTATGTTTAATACCAGTGGTTTTCTTATTTCAGTATTTTAAAAGCTGGTATTTACAGCAGACAAATATAAAATGCTTACGGCATAGTTCTCGTGTCCAGAAAATGGTATTTCAGTGCAGGCCACACAAAAGGAGCACATGAAAGTGGTAATGAGGTTGTGATTTGAGCCTTCTGTTATGCTAGAGTAAATCCTGGGGAGCTATAGTGATACTGAAGAGGAGTTCTTCAAAAGGTAAGTGGAGTGTTGCTGTGATAGGCCTCTTGTGGTTAGAGTTTTAATCTTTCTTTATTCAGATTTTGAGAAATGCACTTCTGAGCTTATGAAACGTTTTATGCTTACACGATTTTACAATTACTTCTGAAATTTGTGCCAGTCAAATTTACGTGGCCTGCCAGAGCGGAAGAGTGGATCAAGCGCTGTCTTTGGGATTTCTGCTGTGTTGGATAGCTGGAGATCTCACAAATTTCATCGGCTGCTATTTAACCAATCAACTGCCGATTCAGGTAATCTGCCAATGTGCCTACTTTTTCAATTTATTGAAAAATTTAATGAAAGCGAGGGTTTCTCTGAAAGGAACAGGCATTTTCAGCAATGCATTAATTGTCTGAAACTTTCTTATCTCTGATTTTTATTTTTGACTTTTAATTGATAAAGAAAAGGGTCTGTGTCATCTGCCTGCAAGAAGTTTTCACATGCTCAAGAGGGACCCAAGGGTGGGCAGAGATGTCTTCTCTTTTATGACTTAATGTATGACGCTCACCATTCCATCTCCCCGTGATGAAAAGGGGAAGAGAGAATGTTTGGTTTGTCTTACAAGAGACAATGAGTAAGATTAATAGCTTCCAAAGTGCTGGGAAACTAGATGGAGCAGGCTTAAGCAAGTCCCTGTTGCATAAGGTCACACTGCATTCATCTGCAGTGGTCTAACTTGTTTTGCAGTGGAAACATTTTTTTTTTTTTTTGGCAGTGCTTTGGTATTTGTCATTCACATTATGATTATGAAGCAAAATTTCCATGCAGTTAAGGTATTTTGAACTATTTCTATACTGAACAACCAAATGTATCTTCTCTTTCAGATTGCCACTGCCATTTTTTATGTTAACATGGATATAATTATGATTTCACAGTTTGTCTACTATAAACTCAAGAATCAGAAGATGACAAAATGTAAGGTTTTTCAGCAATTAAAATGTTCCCTGTAATGTAGCACACTTTACTTTGATATTTTCTACAGCATTTAAAAGATAGGTTTTTCAGAGGGTTCATAAATTATAGTGCACAAATTCTGTTTAAGTTGTTAGACCTCTTGCTGCCAGTTTTCTCAGGCTCTTGTGCAAATCCTACCCTTGCTCTTCTCTTCCTTTCTGCCTTTCTCTTTCCTTACCCACATAATATCTATGAATATTTTCTGCGTAGTACTTTCAATTTATAAAGACATAAAATATGCAGTTATTTTGTGGAATCTGGTTCCGCATTTTACCTCACTCCATGGTTTTACTGTCTACTTACAGCTAGCTAAATACATGTCTAAGTTGAAAGCAAGTATTATTTTTTGTGTGGTTCAGTTAGTTTCCCCCATGTTGATTGAAACCGGACTTTATTTGCTTATAGCATAAAATATCTTGACATCTTCATGTGTTCGGTTTCAATGCCTATAGTTAAAAAAACATATTTAAGGGGAATGAAATTACTTGAGTTGTGCTTCACAAAATCCTGGCAGTAGTTGTAGTGTTCAGCCTACCAGTGGGCTACTGTTTTGACTGAAATGGAAGATGAAAAGCTCCGTTCACATTGTACCAAATCGAAACCATTAACTCATCAATCTAAAAAAAAAAAAACCCAACAAACCATTATCAAAAGAAAATCTATGGTACAAAAGAGGTAACAAAAAGCTGAAGTAAACCAGATGCCTGCCCAGCAGACTGAATAGGCATAAAGCAGATTCATTCAGTATGGAACTGATAATAAACCTGGAGATAGGTCAGCGCTGAAGAGATTTCCTTCCTGCTGCCTACTCTTGGAAGCAAACACAGGCTTTTGTACATTTTAACTGCCAGTGCCTGTTTCAGCTCAGTGGTTTGTGTAGCTGGGGAGGGAGGAGTGGTGCTGTGATTAAAGCCCCAGAAGAGCCCTTTTCAGTACCCAGCTCTGGAGCAGTTACCACACACAAGTTGGTCAGGTTTGCATCTCTAAGTGCAGCTTGTGGAACAGAGCTACTAAGGTTATTTAGACCACAGGGCTCACTGATGCCATGCAACATTTGTTCCACTGGTACAGTGACTGCAGGACTTCACCAGCATCTTACAGATGCAGAAGACAGCATAGCTGCAGGGTTCTGTAGGATTGTCTGCCTTTAAGTTGTCTCATAGGACGCTTGCTAGGTGGAGCCTGTGTCTTTGAATTTGTGAGTCTCAGTAAGGCTTGATGTCTAGCTAACCAGAGACAGGCACAGTGCTTAGAATTCATCTTTATCTTATAGATACCTTCTTTAAATCTGAAATATCCTCGCTTTTGCAATTTTTAATCAAGAAACCATTATATTCTATTCTACTTAGCAGTTTTCTATCACCTCCTATTTAATGGTAAACAATTAGGAGTTAATATAAGAGATAAGCCGAGTACAAAAATCTTCTCTAGGCGGTGAGGAGTTCCCCTCGTGTTCCTGCACTGCTGCCCTCAGCTGTTGCAGAAAGACACAGCACAACCATGATAGTGAGCAGGGGTGGGCACAGAGCCCAGGAGAAAGAAGTGGCTGCCAAGAAAAAGATACATGAAATTGTACCATTACATTTACATATTTATATTGCCAACAGAAAGTAACCTCAAATCACCAGCAGATGTTATTTTTCAGCTAATTTGTTTGTGTGTCATTCTAGGCAGCAAAAGCCTGAAGAGTTTCTGCATAACCTGGATCACGGTGTATGTAGCACTGTGTGTTATTTTACTCTGTCAGCTGTTACTAAGAAACCCAGAACAGAGTACAGTGATGGAAAGAAGTAATGTAAGTTCTTACCTGATTGCAGTCCAAAAGAATCCCACCCAAAAGCATCTTGAAAAGATTGTGTACTCTGAGCTTTAAAAAAAAATTGGGTGACTTTTATAACAATGATTTAGAGACCATAAATGTGGCACTATGTGGCTGTTTTAACTATGGACCATACATCCCCAAATAAAGAAGTTATAAAATTGCTTCTTTTAGCAGCTTCCTGTGTTTAGGGCTTATTCTGTCCCCTGGGTCATTAGGATGTGCCTCTCTGTGAAATAACCTGTGGATGTGTTGGATTTCTGCGTGTGTGAAATGCTGTAGACATCCATGTAGAGACTGCACGGTCACAAGTGAAATCAATAAAAGTGGAAAATTACAATTGTACCTGCTGCTGCTGTCATTTGAGCAGGAACGTTCACAGGCTCTTCCAGCCATTTGATGGCCTTCAAACTAATGCCAGTCAAATAATTGTAATCCAGCAACATTGCCCAGCAGGGAAGCAGCTTATTTTCAAAACACAGCTAGGGTGAGAAAAACTGTTAAACTGTGAAAAATGAGTATTTGGCTTTCTCCAGACAGGATGATTCTTTTTTTTTTTTTCATGGCCCTAGCTACAGTTCTTAGTTTTGGTTTGAATTATTGTGCTCAGGCTTTTTTAGCAGGAGGACTGGATTGATATTAGTGCCGTATCCAAAGCCTGGCACTAGTTTTGATCTTGGTCGTGGCTATGACGCAGCAGTGTGCATTGTTGTGAGATGAAGATTAAACCCTTTCTAGCCCTCTTTGGTCATTTGAAGAGCAGCACTGAACTGCTTTGAAAGGAGTTCTGTCCAGAAAACCAGCCAGTGGACTCTCAGCTTAATCCTCTGAAATGCCTGAAAACATTCCTGCCAAAATACTTGTACTTTTCTTTTTCAGAACTCTCTTGATATGATTGAAATGTCAGGCTTCATTTGTGGCTATGTATCCTGTGTGTTCTACTTGGGAAGTAGATTTCCTCAGCTGTACAAAAATGTAAGTAGGTTTTTGGCTCAGTACACTTGTGTATTTTACAAAATACCCTGTTGCTTTAGATGTTGGATTCCCTGTTAACAGTGAGCCCTCTTGAACTCGAAATCCTGCTTTGCTTTTACAACTCTCTAAAATGGTAAAGAAAAAAATTGTGGGTTGTTTTTTTTTTCCTCATGCAGAGGAGGATGTGAAAAATTTTAGGAAAACAGTGGTCATTGATTGATGGAGAAGACTGATTGGCAGGGGGAGAGGAAACAATGAAGTATTTACAGTTGGATTTATCAGCTATGAGTAGAAACAGGCTTTGTGTGGTTGTTGTTGTGAGCAAACGATTTCTCTCCTTCTCCAAAATATTCTGCCTTAAGTAACCAACCATGGGATCCAAAGTTAAAATTAATTTGGACTTCTAGTCCCTTTTCACAAAGATGCCATTACTGACTTTTTTCTCCCCAGCCTTTTCACTATCAGTATGTAAAAAAAAAAAAAAAAAAACCAAAAAAAGCCAGAAGACCAGAAAGTTTTACATACAAACATTTATGATTGCTTATGGAAGCAGCTAGTTCATTTCCAAACCCATTCATATTCTCCCTCTACCTTTTCCTTCAGGACTGGAATACCATAGTATTTTCAAAAATAAACGTAGCAACAGATATCCTAAGAACTAAATATCATTTTGGAAGCAGAACTGCTTTGCATTTAGGAAAAAATTACATTAGCTGGAGCTGCTTCTAAGAGCTGTAACAATTTCTGTAGTTTTCAGTGCTGAAACTACTAAGCTTTGATGGTTCAGACTCCAGGAAGAGATGGACAAAAATGACTAAAAGTCTTTGGTTATATTATAGCACAAAATGACAAAATTATATACAACTGGCTACTGCGATAGATTTTTTAACATTTCTCTGTATTTGTGAAAATTTCTCCTTTGTATTTAGTTCCAGAGAAGATCAACAGAAGGCACCTCATACCTACTGTTTGCATTAGCCATGATGGGAAACTGTACCTATGGGCTGAGCCTGGTTCTAAAGATGCCAGCTACCAAATCCTTCCGGGCCCTCTACTTCTTACACCATCTTCCATGGCTCATTGGGAGTTTCGGAGTTCTGTTTCTAGATATCTTTGTATCCTTTTCCTGTTACAGCTAGATTTTCTTAGGATAGGCTTTTTAATAAGTAGATCAGAAATTAAGCAGATTTTTTAAAAATCAAAATCTTAACTCTCTTTCTAACCTGATCATAAAACTCCTTTCTGAACAATAATCTGCATGCTATTTATAAAAATATTTCTTGATAAGAATAACAAGTTTGTAGAAAATATCTACCTTAAAACTATATTGCATAGGTTAACTTATATCTTGTAGCCAAGACACTTCAGAGGACAAGTCTAATGAGGAGCAACTGAGGGACCTGGGGGTGCTGAGCCTGGATCAAAGGAGGCCCGGGTGAGACCTTCTGGCTCTCCACAGCTCCCTGACAGGAGGTTAGAACCAGGTGAGGGTCGGACTCTTCTGCCAAGGAACAAGCGATAGGACAAGAGGAAATGGCCTCAAGTTGCCCCAGGGGAGGCTGAGGTTGGAGCTGAGGAACAAATTCTTTGCCTAAAGGATTGTCAAGGGCTGTCCTAGGCTGCCCAGGGCAGTGGTGGAGTCCCCATCCCTGGAGGGGTTTCCAAGCCATGGAGATGTGGTGCTGAGTGACATGGGTTAGTGAGGACCTGGCCGTGCTGGGTTAACAGTTGAACTTCGTGATCTTAAAGGTCTTTTCCAACCTAAAAGATTCTGTGGAATATTAAAATTGGTCTTCTACTGACCACTTGCCCCATACAGAATGATACCACCATGAACAGGCAGACCAGCAGCCAAATTCCTCCCACCACTCCCACATCACACACCAGAGACCCAAAGTCCCAGACCAACAGAGGAGGAACAAGTCCATGCACTCATCCACCACACGGGACATAAAGAAGGGAGTGAGGTGGAGCATAGATGGACATGAGG